AGAGAGATTGCACAATAGAGATTTGAGTAGGCTCTGAGTTGGGAACCAGAGGCCTGAAACATAGATTAGTGGACCCCCTGAGCTGTGTGCCAATACAGGGAGTTATATTTATTGGATTTTTATATTTATTTTAACTTATATATTTATTGGACACAACCCAAGCTGTAATTGAATTTGCACGCACCATATCTGAATGATTTCTTAATCAGGAAAGATCACCATTAAAATTTTTGGCAAATGGCACAGCTTTTGATGTCTTTAGATGTGACACACCATACTGATTTTCTTTTCTTTCTGGGTTCTTTGTAGTTTTGTGTTAATGTTCTTTTACTGGTTATGATTTTTCTTTCTTCTTGATAAATTTCATAAGTAATCTTTTCTTTCTTAGATAGGTTTCAATTGCCCGAGTATCATTTATTTTGAAAATGTAAGGAGCAATTTTTTCACCTTGTTCCTTTTTTAAAATACTTCTAATAGTGCTGTAATTCTTAGGTTCCATAGTAGACCTTATACATGAAGTTGAAATTAAAACCCCAAAGTCAAAATGTTTCAACTACATAGTAAAAATCAGTTTTGACCTTATTTCGACCCTATTTCAACCAGATCTGCAAATGGTTGAAATAGTTTTGACTTCATGTATAGTAGACCTAATGTAAATTAGTTTCATATTATATAGGGGGAAAGTTCTATATATCACTTAAGATAACAAATGGGATATTATAAAACTGTCAACTATGATCACATTACAATGACTAAATTTTGATCCCTGAAATTTTTTGTAATACCAATGTTCACTTTGTCTGGTTTTGTTGCAGTATGCCCCATGTAACCTTTTCATTTAAATTAAATTCTGAAATTGTTGATCTACAAATTTTTTTCGGTAATACAATAATGTTCTAGAACCTTTCTTAATTGGAAATAATTTTGATGCAATGCTGATGTAATTGAAATAAGTTTTGTTTGTTTCCTAAAATCAATTCGGAATTCAATTTTTTTAGTTTTCAAATTTTTCCATCATTTCAAAATTCAACCCAGACATTGTAAACATAACTCGATTTTTCGAGTTTTGTAACAATTTACAAAAAGTTAACTTTTCAATATGAAAGTTTTTCGAGCAGAAACTGGAAAAAGAATTCGAATTAGAAAAGATGTCGATAGGTAAATAATGTTGACTTTTCATTATTCCAATTAATGAATTCACGTTCATCATTCGAAAAGTGATGCTTTGTAACCTCAACAAAATTCAACTTACTGCTACCAACTATTTAGTTGATAGTAAAAAAAAAAATTACATTGATGTAGCATTAATTTTTTTTTGAAGAATAAAAACTGCAGATCAAAAATACAACGCTATTGTATTTTTTTTAATTTGACTTCTTCAAACATTTGTCATGTATAGCTTGGAAAGTCTTCAAGTAGAGATTGAACAGTTGACTGGTGTTTCGACCTATTCACAAATACTTATGACAAGTCATGGCTTACAGTTAAAAGCTGAGATGATGAAAGATATCATTCAATCAAGTGGCAAGGTGCGATTATATTTTCATATCTGTCTATAATTATATTATTATGTTATTATTATTAATTTCTATAAAAATTAATCAATAAAAAATAAAAGGATGAACAAGTCATATTTCTTTTTGATAGAGGTTTTCTTGATGCAAATAATATGAGCAGTTTAGATTCACTTAATGAAACCGTGATCTTAGAACCTTCTGTTTCAGGTAAATGATTTTTTTTAAGTAAATAAAAATATGATTGCAGATTTATATATATTATTATGCAAACAAAAATTACTTACGATTTTTATAATTTATAAATTTCAGCATTCACAGTGTCATCAATTCCTAAAATGATGCAAAATAATAATAGTATACCTTGGTCAAACATAAATATTTCTGACGAGTGTGGATCTTTTTCAAGTTTATTTCAATCACACCATTCTCAAGGACAGGTGATTGGCATACTAATCTACTACAAATTTATATATAGTGGCAATTAATGATATAATCAATTAATTTTTTGTTATTTATCTTTGGGTGAATTAAAGTCTTACGTTAAAGTAGCCACCACTCATACTGAAATATGTGAAAGGTTGTATCAAGAACAAGTGGCACAATTAATGGCCTTGAATGTTGCAATTACAAATCTTGATGCTCATAGCAGGTTTGCTTTCACTGCTTTGAATTATTGATTTCTTTCACTGATTGATTTAGGAGTGGTAAAAATCTGAATATGATGATAATCTAAGCACTTTATTCAAAAATCAATTGTAGATCTGTTATTGAAGCTCATGAAATATTCAATGTTTATGCACAAAAGGAAATCTCTAAAAAACTAAAATTGATCCAAAGGTTAATATATAATTAATATATAATTAGTATATTCTACTTAAAGACAGATAGCTGTTAATATATATCTATCTATTACTATTATCAATGATTAGTTTACCATCAAATCTTGAGCTTCTCAAACGTATTACGGTCCATCCTGATATAATAAAAAACGCAGGGATAGAAACAAACGACAATGGTTCTTATACATTGTTTGATTATCTTCCACAAGATAAATATACTTCATTGGCAAACGATGGAAAAGAAACCTTTGGTACTTTTATTAAATATTTTTATTGATAATTAAAATTACAAAAAAAATCAAGATACAATAATAATAATATTGTTTTAGACCTTCTGGCACAACATGTTCGAGATTTAGATTCTAAAATTAGATCAATTCGTTCAGGGACAGAAACTATAAAAAAGACGAAACATGATAAAGAGTGCGTGTATAAGATTAGATTTAAAACTTTGATAATAAAGTGTATTAATCTGCGCGTTTATATATATATATTATGTTGATTTTTTTTGGTAGATTCGCGCCTTTAGAAGCAAATCTTAATAAAATTAGAAAACATTTTATCAACCTCAAACAACACGCTGGAAAACTTGAACAAGGTAACAGCTTAGATAATTATTTTATTTGAAAGATCAAAAATTTTCATATTAAAATAGAAATAGAAATAAAAAATAAAGTAGTCTAATATTATTAAACATATTTAGTTTATAATTCTATTTCATTTTAATGTTTTATATCCTAGATGTGACAAGAGTTCAAACATTAATTTCAAAAATTATGGAATCGAATTCCAAATTTATGACTTCAAACACGAATGACGATTTCAAAGGGCTTATAAATATGGCAAACTATCATACAAACGAATATTTACCTAGTAAGATAAATGGCATTTTTGAAAAAAAAAAATAATAATACAAATAAAATTTCTAACAAAATAAAATTTTCTGTGATTTTAAAGATATGCAAAATATTGATATTATATTACGCGAACAAGTTACTTATTTTGTTCAAAATAAGGTAGGTTTTCTATTATTATTTAAACATTTCCTCTAAAATCAAAAAAAAAAAAGCTTATTGACTTTTTTAATCTAAAAATTAAAAAATAGAATAAGATGACCAATAATTTAATTAATAATCTTCAACAAATATCTTATCTTGAATCATCTATCGCAAATGTTCCTAGTATTTTGTGTCAACTAGAACATCAATTCAGATTAAAATCTCAAAGTTTTAAACGTTTAGATTTGGTTCATCAAACACTCTCTGCCTATGTAATTTATGGTTTGATTTATTTTATATAAACACTTTTTATTAAAAATTTATTCACTAATCAATTTTTCATTTATAAATCTTATAATTCTTTTTTTGTGAATTCAAAATAGGCACGATCAATTGTTGAAATTGTGAGAAGAAAAGAATATTCAAAAGTAAGCTCTATAAAAAAATCAGCCATCTTAATTAATTTTTAAGTTAAAATTGATTATTGTTATTTAGGTTCTGCTTTCCAAAGCTCAACAATTGGCTGAAGTCATGGCACATTTTCGTAACCTTGAACAAAAACGTAGAGATACTTATCGTTCTGAAGTGAAAAAACATAATCCCATTAATATTCCAGGTACATTTCATCTTTTTGATCTTTGAAAACAGGAGCTAGCTACTACTTTAATGGAATCATTCAAATATATATTTATAAAAATTTTTACACTAGCATTGGATGATCCACCTCCAATGTGTGACATATCTACAGTTAATATTGGTGACGAAAAATTACCATCCTTTACGAAAAAAGATATTCAAGGTTAAAAATGTTCTTAACTCTGTTTACTCTTCTTACATATTGTTTATCCTTTTTTGACAAATACGATTTATCAAAGTAATTAAACTTAATATATATTTATTATGTAAAACATTAGAATTAATCAACCTATTTGATCAAATACGAACATCGTCAATTTTACAAAACTCATATAATCGTTCACCAACTCTCTCAAGCACTACAACTTCTAGGATTCGTATTCAACAATCTATCGATGATCCACTAACTGATGTTTTGATAAAATTGACTGGCCAATTGGATGGAATGGATATGGAATTTGAAAAAATTCTAGAGAAAAATTGTTAGTACAATTAATTATTGTGTGATATCACATAAATGATTTTTTTCTTTTTGTTTAAACAAAGCTTCAATTATAGTTAACTTTCATAGAGACGGTGATAACGGATTAACAAGACCATCTTTGATGAACGATGGTACTTTTAAAAATAAATTTATTGATTCGTTACTATTACCACGATTATGGTGAAAAATTACTTTGAAAATTCTAAAAAAATTTGGTTTTTTTATAAAAGGTCGATCATTAGCACCACCACAATCCATAACTCAACCATATGTTTCGCATCAGATGAAACGGCTTGCAAGACAAAGCTATTCTGAGGGTAGTTCTTCATCGCCGGTTGCAGATGTAAGGAATATTGACGCATTGCTTTCGGAAAAAACTAAAAAATTGGAAAGTGCTGAAGAAAAAGTCAAGGTTCTTATTTGATTGTAATTTGAAATCCAAACACAGATCTTTTTTTTAAAAAAAAAAGTAAAATAGTACCATGATAAAAATTAATAATTCTTTTCTTCTTTTCAATCAAAGGCTTATGAGGCTAGAATCAAAAGTTTGGAAAATTTATTACATACAAATTATAATTCTTCAAAAAATTTAGCAGGAACTACACCAAAAGATATTATTTCATCGTCATCGTTGTCATCACCATCATCACCATCACCACCACCATCATCTACATCATTATCCAATGTTACACGAGAACTTACAATTTTACGTTCCCGATATCAAAATCTTGAAACAAATCACAATTTGGAAATTGAACAAAAAAACAAAAACGAGAAACGCATCAATGAACTTGAGTTACTTTGTAAGAAGTTGGAGACGTCCAATTCTAATTTATCACAAGAATTGAAAGAGCAGGCTGAAAACATTAATACAAGTTCAGAAACTAAGTTTACTTTAGAAGTTAGAATTAGAGAATTAGAAGAACAATTGTATAATCTAGAACAATCGCACCAACTTGTAATAAAAGAAAAAGATACAATCAATATTAAAATGATTGAATTACAAACTAGACATAACGAACTGCAGATTGAACATGATTTAAAAGCAGAGAAATGTAAAGAATTACAAGAAACGGTGAAAGAGCTCGAAAATAAAGTTAATCAAGAACATTCTAATATTGAAATTAATGAAATAGACAATTCTGCTACTGAACAGATTGAAAAATTACAAAATGTAATCGAAGATTTAAGAAACAATTATCAGGAATCAAAGGATGAAAATAATCGAATTATTGATGATGGTGAAAAGAAGTTACAGGAACTCGAATCAGTAAAACAAGAGATTGAAACCAAATATACAGATTTAATTAAACTATTTGAAGATTTGAAGGTAGAAAATGAAATGATAAGAAAAGAAAAGGAAATAGCTGAAACTTCTATTAGTAATTGGCAAGATAAATATTCAGAAACAGTAAGAGAAATAAACAAATTAGAAAGTCAAATTGAAGAAAATATACAAAAAGTTTGTATTATATTATACAACAATGTGCCATTATATTGATGGATTATATTAAAATAATAAATAATAATGATTATAATTCCAATTTAATAAATAGCTTAATGAATCGGAAGATTGTCGATCAGAATTGGAAGAAAAAATAAAGAAATTGGAGGAAGAATGTAATATTGGAAAGGAATCAGCGTTAGCTATCGAAAAACAATTGAAACAAGAGGTTAAAATTTTAAGTTTGTTTATTAATTCTTTTTGTGGTAAAATATAATCATATTTTTATATTTTATTCTTAATAGATTGAAAAAATTCAAAAAGAATCAGAGGAAGAAATCCAATCTCATAAAGAGAATATTCAAAATGTACGGCGCAGATTTTTATTGTTATTAATGATCATTTAATATTATTTATTATAAACTTATAACTCATTCAAATCATTTAAATAAATAGCTAACTAGTGATATTGAAGGTTGGAAAGCTAGTTTTAACAATTTGAATGATGCACGCGAAGAAATTGAAAAATCTGATATTAGGGTAAGTTTTTATTATACTTATTTACATATATATACGTTTTTAATTTTATATGATAAAATTTTTGAATTTTATTAGTCGAGAGAAAAAATTAGAGGATTAGATCAACAACTTGCAGATTGTAAAAGTGACTTTCAACAAGTAATTAATTACATTTAATTATTTTTATGATTAACATTTTTTGCCCTGATCCACGCTTTAATTATTATTATTTTTTTAATTAGGTGGAAAAATTAATTAAAAATATCATTGAAACTATTTTGGAATATTTGCCTATGGTTCTAGCACGCGAGAATAAAACTATAGATGATGAAAAGGTATAAATCAAAATATGATTACTATATGCCAGATAATAAATATTTAAATGTTTATATTCATTTGCATTCCGATTTTTATAGAAAAACATGGAAAAAAATCTGAATCCTGTAAATATGATACGGAAGCTAGGCGATTTCATCAAAACTTTAGACGAAGAATTGCGCAGTGCCAAAAAGGTAAAATTTTTCCTGAAAAATGTTTTTTTTAATTTAAATATATATATTATATATAAAATTTTTATGTTTATAAAAGTCATTGGAGGAGAGAAGAGATGTAAATACAAAAAGGAAGCAAACAATGAAAATTCAAACTGGTTTATTAAATGATCTCAGTAAAAAATTATGGAGCAATTATTCTAATTTTAAATCAATAGCAACCAAATTAGAACTATCTGTGCCATCTCTTCTTTCAGAAGATAAAGGAAATGATAATGATGACGATGTTAATGTTGACGAGCAACCCAATTCATCAAATCGTAGCCATAATAATCAACGATACCCCATGGAAGAAGCCTTGCGTAAATTATTTGAAAATGATGGCAATAATAATAAAGAATTGTCAAAAGATGACATTAATAACCTTTTGGAATTTGTATCTAAACTTGATTTTACTGAGTTCGGTTCTGTTATAGAGAATAAGGTTAAGCATGCAGAAACACTAGCAGAAAGATTCAAAAGAGAGAGCAGTTCATACAAAAGTGATTATATATTTCTTTTTGTTTTTTTTTTCCTTATAATAAAAATATACTAATTGTACTTCTTAAAAATAATTTAATAGATAAATATCTTGAACAGAGACGTGAATCTAAAGAAAAAATTGCATTCCGCAGGTTTTTCATCGTCTTTTTTTCCAATTGAAATTTAACCATGTATGTATATGTTTAACTTCGATACATGATAATTTTTTTAGTTTTAAGGAAGGTGATATTGCAGTATTTTTTCCAAATAGTAATGATCTTGCAAATGCTCAATGGCAAGCATTTCATCTCGAATGTCCTCATTACTTTATACGTGAAGCCGAAATTAATGACTCGGCAAAAAATAAAAGATGTATTATTGCAAAAATTGAAGAAATTACTGAATATATATCAGATTCAAAGGTTCATATATATATATGTATTCATTTATTTGTTTATTATAATTTCATCATAAACAATGAAATTAACTATATATTTCAATTAATATATATATATAGAATCCTGAAATTCCTCAATATGGATTAGCCGACGGAATGAAATTTTATTTATTAGATGTTGAAGTATATCAAGCTGATTCGACACCTCATGCTTCTCGTCGTCGATCGGTATCAGAAGCCCAGACAAACAAAAGTTCGAGAAACAACGGTAATATTCAATTAATGAGTGCATCTGTTTCAAGCCTTTCAAATACAACAACGAGTGTTTCTAGACGCTCCAGTGCAAGTTCTTCCAAAAAACGTGTAACTATAACAAGTATGCCAATATCTACCAATACCAATATTAGTCAATCTCCTCAATCATCATGATAATTATGATGACTCAAAAAGAGTTCTGGAATTCTTAATATAAATTTTATTTTTATATTACTTTTTTATTATAAATTTTGTTTTTCTTATTTATTAGTGCAAAAAAATTTTTTTGTTCAATTAGCTGTAATTTATATGTAATGTAGAATTAATGATAGAAAAACAATTTATTTTTTTCTCTTTTAAAAATTGTACGAGTATTAAACTGTTTTTTTTTCTGAAACTTATATAACGTTATCACTATTTTATGCGATTCAAAATTTTTTCATAAACTACTAATATTGATGAATCCGCAGACTTTTCTTTTGTATTCCAACGAAGTGGATTATAGCCACCAATTCTCTTGGTCTTTTTAATTTTCGTGGTAATTAGAGCTTGTTTAATTATCAATAAAACTGATCTAGAAAATCGATCAAAAGCTTCAGAAAGAGCCAAAAGGTGAATTAATTGAGTTGTAAGTGTCGTATTTTCAGTAGTCTAACTAGAAATTTAGCCCTTGGACCTTTTTGAAGTAATAGCGTCAATTGCCATTCATCACTAAGATGGTGAATTTCTTTATAAATCTCTTCGTTGAACACCTGTTTAAACGACATAATTTCATAGATTTAAGGAATAATGTCTTGTAATATAATTTTTAATTCTTTTGATTTTTGTTTCTTTTAGTTTGATTGTCTTTGGTTTTTTATTCTTTAAAGAACTTTATTGATTTTTTCTTCCGAACTTGTAGTTTGTCTAATCCACCATTTAACGACATGATTCCAGATATAATAATAGATTTAAAATGGACAAATATTTCAGGGAGTTAAATTTCTAAATATCCTTTATGTAGTATGATTGGGAGTTTCTTGTGTTTAATTTTAGATAGTAAGATATTTTCTTTTAATCGCTTCTTCATCTTTGAAATCATTAGAAACTTAATACCGAATAGTTGTAGGTCATATATGATAACAATGCACAAAACTTCATCAAAAAATTTCCTTATCCTTGCTGGTCCATAAACTCCTAATGTATGCATTACAGCCCTTTGGTTCCAAAAGCTTTTATTCTCTAGGATATTTCCCTGGAGGGGTTATTTAAATTTGCCACGTTAACAGTTCCGAGATTTTCATAATTAATTTGCTACTTTTTCATCAACTTTTCATCAGATTTGATCATCTAGGCGAATAAATAAACTTTTATTTTCACTTTGGAAACTAGCAAATCTTTATCAACACCTTTCCTGGACTTACCTCTTGTTTCTCAGGTATGGACATGGCTCTTTCATCGCTAAAACGGAAATGGTTAGTTAAAAGAAGACCAAAACCCTCTTCCTTTCTATATTAATATGCTTTTCTAGTAAATAGTTTTCTTCTGCCAGAAACCAGGATTAATATTCTTTATTTATTACAATATTGTGTAAATTTGGGTTTGGGAAACACACTTGTTTCTTTTCATATTCTTGAATTGATATAGGAATGATCCTGGAACCAAGAATTATTGCACTATTAGGAGTATTTTAAAAAAGGAAACGTTTATTAAAAAACAACCTTAGGAAAAATCAACGACAGAAGCAATATTAAGGAGTGGTGGTTAATGTGGGAAAAAGGATAAATACTCTGATTGGTTTTAACTTTACTTTAATATATATGAATTAGTACGTATTTTTCTGTGTGTTATTAGTTGTGTGGTTGGCTCGGTCTAAAGACCTTCTATTGCTGCGCCACGCGTTTCAAATTTCAAAAAATTGCGATTTCATGATTCGTTTAAAAAAGTATTTAACGTGATTTTGGTTAAAAAATTATTTTCCTACCGCGAGTATTACATATGTAAACTCGATAAGTCGGTCATGTGGGGGTGAGCTCATATGACCGACTTATCGAGTAAAAACTGACTTATCGAATTAAATTACTTAAATATTAAGAAAATGGGGTGAAAATTTTGGCCGACTTATCGAATGATCGACTTATCGAGTTTACATATGTAGTCTAAAGTTAGTAATGATATTCAAATGATCCTAGCGCTCAAATTTCTCATGAATATAGTAATAGTAAAGTACATGTTTTAAAAAAGAATAGAACTCTACAACAAATAAATTTTTTGAGAGAATCTCTTTTATTACATTATGACTAAATACATATTCTATCAACTAATAGAGTTATTTTTTAAAAGATAGGACAGAAAATGACTTCTATACTTTTAATATTTGCCCAAAATTTAGGAGGTCTTTAGACCGAGCCAACTATATCAATTAATTATTCCCCTGTATGTGATATCACTATTTTTTGACACGTTTTTTCTCAACCAATAAAGAACAACATCGTCCAGTAATTTAAATTCGCTATACAAATTCTTTGTAACGCGCGAATTTAATTATAATTCGTTAAAACGAGGTCTTGCTGTATTTTGAAAAAGTAAAAAAAGAGAAAGTTGAAAATAAACGCTTGATATTTTTGGCCACCTCTATAGCTCAGCTCCATCCATTAATCTTTTTAATCCGAGTCTCCTTTCAATGTAGGACAAGAGTTCCATCACCAAATGGTAGTAGAAATGCTTTGGTCTCTGGGCTCCCTTCTCGATTGCATACAATTACAAATTGTAAATAAATATAAGATATTAAGTCAGGTGCCACGCATATACAAGCCCCTTCTTTGTTGTCCCCATGGTGACCATTTGGAACAAAATATCTGAACATAGAAGAAGCTTTAATAGACTCTTCAAAAAATGAAGAAACCAATGCAATTTCAATAAATCAATAGCTCCCTGAATTTTTTATTGTCGACTTTGAATAAAAAATGTCTCAAAATAATTTAATTCTTGGAGTCAATTGTTTATTAATCTGACGAATCAAAATGGGGTGTCAAAAAATTAAATATAATTAGCAACAAAATTAAAAATTTTATTTATCTTGGAAATAGACATTCTAAACTATGCATATTCTTTTTTGAAAGCTATGAATAGGATTTAATTTGGCCACTTTCTCTGCCATTGTATTTATCTGCTTCACTGAAAAGACGCTCACTTGGCATGGATACTCAAATATTTACTTGCTAACCTAGCCAATATTGGGAAAAAATTTTGATGGTCCTTCCACCACAAAATCCCAATCGAACCCTCCTATTAAGATATATTCTTGATACTAAAGAGTAATAATAATAGTTAATAATAAATTTCCTTCAATAGCTGTTGGGATATTCGATTCAGGACAGCATTTGTTTTGTAAAAAAAAGTTATAAAACCTACAGTATATTAATTTGGTTTAACTCACGTGATTGTAACAATTTAAATTGTATGTATATTTTATTTATATATTATATTTATAATGAATTCTGTATGTGTGTGTATGCGAGTGAATGCAGATATATATGTGTGTGTGAATTATATAACTTTTTAATCTTTCTTTCTCTCTTTCTATTTTTACTAAAGTCTCAATAAAATTATAAAAATTATAAACCAATTAATTTATTAATTATTAAATCTATAACAAAATCCAATTGTTAGATGTTAAAATTAAAAATTAAAAATTTTTTTTAAAATAAAATAAAATAATCACAATTATCATTCATCTTCAGAATCAGTAATATCATCATTTAATTGAGTTAAACCTAAACTTTCTTCATCGAATGCATTCAGCAATGTTGCATCCCTTGTTCTCATCAAAGAATCATGATGATGATGATCACCAATTGATGATAACATTATACTGCTATTTCCACTCGTGTCACCACCACTACCCAATAATGTATTATTTTCTTTCAAAGATGACGCCAATCCAATTCCTTCATTCTTTGCAATATTTAATAAATAGACACCGGCAAATATCGTTAGGAAACCACAGAATAATGTTGTTAAATTCGCCGTATTGCCAGTATTAAAACCTTGGAATAATAATACAGACGCTATTATCGTTGATGTTGTAAAAAATACATAATATATTGGATTTACACTAGGAAAATGTGCATGAAGGAAGGAAATGAAAAATTTGCGAGTGAGAATGAGTAATATATTAAGAATAATATATATATTAATATCACACAAACATTACACATATAAACGCTTACATGTTTGTAGAGAATATGTCTAACGCTTTGTTGAAATAATTCATTTGTACTAATATACATACAACAGATATAATTATAAATACATAAGTGGATGTATGACTTAATTGATTATTTCCTGCAAATGTCAATTTCAATGCTATTCCAAATCCTTTACATGACATCACTGATATTGATCCAACCAGCGAACAAATTGATAGAAATACCACAGGGTTCTTTTTGCCATATTTTGGAACCAATTTATATATTGCGACAAATGTATACATGAATACTATCACACAATATGCCATAAATACTATTGATATATATATATGTATATATATATGTGTGTGTTAGATGTGTTATATATGATGATATATATATATGTATATGTTTATTACTGACCAGGTTTCAGAGCAAAACTTAATATTTCATCAACAGTGTTAATTTCTTTATCAGCTGGAGCATGAAGAACAATTATAATTGATCCAATTAAACATAATCCACATCCAATTGAACCAATTTTTCCAAGTCTTTCCTTTAAAATTATAGACGCTAATATGGCTCTTTATAAATATATATAGAGGTTAAGAGACTTAGAGATTAATAATAAACAATTAATTAATTAATTAATTAATTAACTAATATGTATTTGTAATATATTATAAATCTAATATATATATATATATATTTATATATTTACCCAATCAATACACTTAAAGCTCCAAGTGGTGTTACAAGAATAGCAGGTGCAAAAGAATATGCTGCAAAATTTAACAATTCTCCAAGAACCACTGAAATATTATAAATTTGAAAAAACAAAAATTATTTTTATTTTTAATATTCTAAGATTTTCTAATCATATATTTTCACAATTTAAATAAAATATTTTATAATACTTGTTATCATTCCAAACCACCAAATTGGATTCTTTAAATAACTATGATCTTCACTCGCAGAACCTAAGAAAAAAAAATAATTGATGAT